TCGAGTAGTGTCCAGTAGTGCACATTACATACACTACAGAATGTTTCAGAAGCAGATTTCCTTTGATAATCTGAAGTTGTCACTGACGATCACAGCATGCCGTCGTAGTGTACAGTATAAGCTTATACTGATCTACGGCGGTCAATTCCAAGTGCCAGGGGTCTCGCCAGGGGGGTTCTAGATGTGTTCTAGCGTTTCTGCAACACCATATCCGGGCAGGCTCCGCGGCGGTAATTGCAATTCTTTATTCAGACGAGCATAGCATGCGGTACATGTCGATTCAGGACACTACAAACCAGAGCGCGCGGGTTATAACTAGTATAGCAGAAGCCAACCGATGGCGTTTGACATGGCGAAATATTAGCTACATGATAATCGGATCAGGTTATTCCTAGCGTGCGTCGAAGTACATATATTATTAGGATGGCAAGAGGTCAGAGCGGGAAGATTATGCCAAGATGGGGGCGTAGATCCAAAATATGACCACATTCCTGATAATAAAGACATTGGAATAGGTAGTGGAGGAAGCATTTGGGGTAGTATTCATGTCATCCTCGAAAGATGGTCGCATTACCTGCGACCGACCTACCTACTCGATGAACTGGTTGGTTTCACCAATCAGACAGTCCGACGCCATGGTCGTGAGACCACAGCCACACGCATCCTAATCAACGATCACCCGTTTGTGCGTCGTTTCTCTGGCATTTCGTGGGGATCTACTGCAAGTTGTGTATCACCAGGGTGGCAACATCTGCTCTGGAGGGAGCTATTGGGCCAAATATTTCTACTACAGCGTAAGTAGCTGCGCTAGATCATTTCACCGGACTCTATGTGTAGTGCTAAAAACACTTCATAGCGCACGAGGGTAAGAATATAGTGTAGTCTACCTAGTGTACACTAGATAGATCGAACACTATCTATCTACTGAAGTCGATACACTAGTCACGATGATTATCTTGACATCGTTCGGATGCTGAGCATGCCGTGTTTCTTTACCTCGTTGGAGTCTAGTGTATCTAGAACGGCTGAAATAAGCGTCAATACTAGGTGCGACTCCGAATTAGACTTGCAACCCGAGATACTGCTCATGACCCCCGACAGTCGGCAAAGTTTCTTTATCTCGCCGGGCTCCAAAGCTGTCGGCGGACTATCGGGGACTGATGTTGCCTGCCCCGGGGAATCTGTATAAGGGGCCAAGAAGCCACTTGAACATTCTCCGGTTTGTGCCCGCTCTCGTTCGCCCGGCACTATGGAGTGTCATCATTGTTCTTCGTCTGTACCGGCTCGAGACACACCATGAGAGGGCAGGTCACAAGACTTGAAGGTCCTGTTTGGTTGCGCATCCAAGTTTAGCATGGTAGGTCGCGGAAAACCCCTGAACCTGGCTGACTTGACGTTTCCCGGTTTCCAGCTGCCGGGCTCACCTCTTGAATGGTAGTGTAGCTACTGCTTCTCAGGGGAACGAACATGCACTTGGAAGTTACCCTGCCAATAATAACTGAACAGGATAGGTTCCTTTATCGCGGAGGGAATCTACGTGTCCCTGGTATAGTATAGCATGCCAGCGTGAAATACGCTATAATAGGTAGGTCATTGGCATTTTCCCCGCTTTGGGTTTAGAGGGATCCGAGCATGGTCAGGATGGTTCTATTCTGGGTCTAGCCAAGCAAGCCTATTGCTCCCTAGCACCTTTCTCCATATTTCACGAGGGGCCAGATGGATGGTGTTCTCAGGAGTACATTGATCCTTCCTTCTTCACCACCCAGATGCGTAATCACACTACCTACAGGCTACCGCACATTACCTACAGTAGAGAGGCCTATTAATTGGCCGCTCAGATAAGGTAGGTAGTGCACATACTTGACAGTCCGACCCTGTCGACCTATACTAGTGCACTTAGGATATTTAAATTAATTACCTGTACATATATGTGAGTGTGCAAGGATCAGCCGACTGTCAACGAGCAAGCCTTGCAGTCGGCGCAACTGACTACCTGGACTACTACCGGTACTCTACTTCATACTGTACATCTCGTTCTCTCTCTCTCTGTCTCTCTTTTTTTTCTCTTCTCACGCCACTTCTTCCTTGCTGGCAGGTGGTTGGCCACGCTTCTTTCCGTTTTCGCCATCTTGTGAGAGTGTGGTCATGACGAATTGGGTTGTCGCTTGTAGGTGATTCTACCGCATCGAAGAAACCAACAGACTCGCTCTCGTTCCTCTACCCCTATCGCTTGCATCGTGGCCTTCGTTTCTCTTGATCACTGCCTGGCCCTCTCTCCACTACATCGCTCCTAGTATGAGGTTTTGATAACAGTTGAAAGAGCTCGGCCTCTTGCTTCTGGGTTATGTTCCGCCGTGTGCGATCGTACTTACACACCGAGGGTCAGGCCTAGACGCTTTGCGCAACTGGCGAGTAACTACACGACTGGCCACACTCCAAAGTACTCATAGCCCTGATGGAGGACATCCTTCTTATGCCCCCGGATCGGGGTCCGATACTGGGAAGACCTGTCTGGAAGGTATCTAGCCACTGCCACGGATCGCACACCTATTTTCCTCGTCACAACACTAACGGATACTGTTTTAGCCGCGTTATGTCTTTCTTGGCCCATTGTCGCAAAAAGAAGGCCCCCAGCCGAACTCGCTTTCACAGGTTTTGTCCACTGCTCGTATTAGAGATGCGGGGGGCTGGTCTTCAAGATCACAGCTGAAGAGTCCAATTGACGCCATCTATCTTTTGGTTTATAAGTCCAAGGTGCGCTCCGGGTGGGTTGGATGTCCAGGTTGTGTTGCTAATACGCCGACAGGAGGATACCGAACCCATTCATCAGCATTCGATTGCGTCGATATCAGACTGTCAAGTGCAACAACTCGCACATCGGAAGCAGCGTCATATTCCTACTCTTACTGTTCAGATATCTCCCGATCCGGCCACCGAGAAGCTACGAAAGCGTCGATCGAGCCGGTCCGGAGGGTTAATTACGGCTAAGGATTCCGGTCCATCAACACTCTTATTTCTCCCCGCTGAGGGGTCGCAGTATGGCTTGGACGACTGGGCGAGGTACATTCAGTCGCTCATGCAACAACATCAATCCGCGCCGATGAGCCCAATTAGTCCATCATCACCGGCCTTCATAAGTCCATTTCCGACGATGCCAGATGTTAGCGAAAAGTCTTCACCGGCGTCTACGGCGAGGGGAAAGCTAAGATCGAAGTTGCAATCTAAGTCATCAGGTAGAACCCTTCCTTCGACGCGCGACCAAAGCTCGGTATACACTCCCGGATCCCCTAGCCTTCGCTCTCGCAAGAGTGATCTTTCTTCCCAAGCCAGCTCTATGGTGCCGGCTGCTCTGAATTTTGTGCAGCAGCATTATGCCAATCTACAACACTGTGAGCTGCCTTCGCCGGCTTCTACTGTGGATGAATATCCGGAGCACCCAATTGAAGGATGGACAATGGCACAAGGACGTTCCTCGACCGTGAGCTCTCCTATCATGGGTCGGGGTAGCATAAGCTCTTCTCAGAGCCCTACACAGCCTAGTTTAGAGTCAAGCCCACCCAGAGTACCTCGTGAGACTATCTTAGACCGGGCTTTTCAATTGCGATGTATTCCCGGCTCCGATCGAGAGATCGCAGGGGAGGAGAAACTCACCTCCCTTGCAAGGTTCGAGGCACTCATGCGTGAAACAGAAGATCGACAGAAGAAGATGAGAGGAAAAGAGGTAAGGCAAGAGCCTTTAAAGAGCACATGGGAAGATGATGAAAGCGATGAGGATGAGTTTAGCAGGGAAGTTGATGATGAAGATGAGGATAGTGACTATGCTGACCACCACGGGATGGACGCGTCAGCGTCCAAGGCGCTTCATTTCATCGCCAACCGTCACAACTCAACCTATAGCGAGTCTGGGCTGAGAAATGCGCCATCGGTTCTACGGCCGCACACATCACACTCACGAAGTCGGCCGTTAGCCCAGCGGACAAGTAGCCAACCCTACGTTCCCGGCCCTCAATTGCATATTCCATCATCTCCCCCACCAAGACAGACGGAGGGCATCGCGATGCGGCGATCTCATGAGAAACGACATTCCACCTCCGAGGTCAAGAATCTTGGTAGTTTCAATGAGTTCACGAAACGATTAAGCGGCACAAGCAGTTTACTCATACAATCGAACGCTGGTACTGGCAGCAGTCATGGGAGTGCCGATTACGACGCACAGACGCCTCGTGGGTCTATTAGCCCTCGAGGGACTAGCCATACTTCCGATGAGCGCTGTCGATGGCGAGGCAGTATCGGTGTAATTGGGAACGAGGGCGGATTTTTATGATTTAGCAACCACCACACACGATCTTGCTTTGCGAATTCTCTTCGACATCTTGGGACCCTCGACTGTATTAATTATTACTTCGCCCCATGGCCAATTATGTATGACCTTACGATAATCGACCACGGGCCCAGCGTTACGCGATACTAGACGCCTTAGCGTGTCAAAACTTTACGATTCACAGCTTACGACACGATGCTGATACCCTTTAAGATTTTTCTTGCCGGATATTCGAGGAATCAACTGGAAACAACTGAACAGAACCTTTAAAAGTGAATTACTATGTTTTGCAATGTAATGATTTGGATTCTCGAAAGAAGCAAAGAGCTAGGAAATCTGAATTAGAGAGTCTTAGCAGATGACCTTGCCTTGTTTTCTTTTTTGTACTAGACTTGAATAGTTATCTTTTTTAGTTATGTTAGATGGAGAGAGCACAAGATATGGACAGACGTGTTCCTACAAAGACATGAGAGATACCCCTACCCAATACAAATTCAGCAGCAAAACCGACAAAAAAGAACATATTTATCAGCAACAGTACTGTATTCTGTGCCAGACCTACCAGCTCTCTATCTTGCTAGCTTTACGCCAGACAGTTATACTAACTAGCCACCGAACAGTTCAGGTCTTGCTATGAAACCACTTCACAAGCAAACAATGCTGTATTGTGCAAAATGAATGGACAAACGGGGAATTGAACCCCGGAACCTTCGCAGGCGTAGAAAGAACTCTGAAGAATCAGATATACAAAGCGAATATTATACCCCTAGATCATACGCTCAAGAATGACTTCATCGATCACGGGACTCGCCCGCAACCGCAGACTTAGGAGGTCTGGACGACCATTGCGCCAAAATCGACAATTCCTGGACATTGCGAAGTCAGCGACTGGAGTTTCCAGAACCTCGGCTCGGACGAAAGGGCGCACCTAGACTCTAGTCTAATAGTTCGGAAAACAATAGAAACTCATATGACACTGTGATTAGGAATAATATGTACAGTCCTGTATCTTCGTCTGTGAAACCCCTTAAGGAGTGTTGCCAGATAAAAGTAACACCCAATTCACCCTCTAACACTAGCGCAATGTCTTCAGAGAGATCTGCAATATTAGCAAATTGCATAAGTCCAAAGTTGTTACGTGGTTTTACTGCTAATTAAGTCTGTTGTTGTTGTTGTTGTTGTTGTTGAATTCGCATTTCAGTATCTGTGCTCTCGATAGTCAAGTTAGAAGAGTTTACTTGTATACAGCCTAGCGAACTTAATCACAAAGTACACCGTAGTATATAGGACGTTAAACTATCGGGTATGACAACTTCCTGGAAAGCCTGGGCTTACGATATGGCTGTCAATCGTAGTCAGAAGTTTCGACAGGTAACTTGCGACGTAATCTGTCGACGTGATAAGAACAAAACTACAGTTTTACCGATCCTCTCAGTAAAGCAGTGAGCAAAAAAAAACGGCGAGTTTCAACGCCAGCATTTATGTGAGCTCCTCAGGCTACATATCCTATTCTACCATGGGGGCGAGTAAGAGAATCTAGCTTTCACCGTCATTTAAGCATGGTAAGCGTCATGGTAGCGCTTTTCTCGCCTTTTGTCAAAAATTCTAGCAATTCGCTTCAAAACGATACAATATAACGACAGTTACTGGATCCAAGGACAGCCTATAAAGTTGGCAAAGAAGGAGAGAGGAGCAGGGTGTCTAGGATCATCACAACTGCCGACTTCAAGTCATGATAAAAGGATACCGGGAGTACCTAGGTAACATTAGCTGTATGCGAGAAATACCACGCCTCGCAAGTAACCAGCATATTACCAACCAAAGTCAACAAGTTGACATCCTCACATGCCAATGTCCACCCGGCTACTCACACAACTAACACATCACGATGGATTATAAGGAGTTTACGAAAAGACGAAAAGTAGAGCTTACTTAGCCACCGACATGAAGACATGGCGAACAGAATGGGGCACGTTGCTCGTCGAAGACTGAGAACGTTTCGTTGGCCATAGCGATATTGGTATGAAGTGAGGCCTTGTACAGGGTTGTAGCTAACCAAGATTGCGTCGACGCCAATATTGAAGTGGTGTGAGAACCGTGAGTAGTGTATCTAGACACCGCCGAGCAGAAACTCGAGAGTAGGAAGGGTAGTAGCTTGTAAAGCCTCATGTGATAGCATAGGATTCGTCAGCCAGCGAAACCCCCAAGTTCCACGACACGATACCTGAGTGACGCACACTTCCGCCCAACCACGTGCACCGCGAGAAACGGTATCACGTTATACCAGGTCCATGAGTTCCTTTTCTATCGAGATCAATTCGTCCGGAAGGGGGGCACGCATGATCGAGCCCCATCTCCCAAAATCAACGGCAGCTTACCACGCCTGGCATCTGACTAGACTATCTATCTGGACTAGACAGTTACCGTACCCGATATTCGGTATTTAGCTATAGATAGCAGATCGCCGTGCCTTTCCATGTGACACGACGATCGATCGATCGATCGATCGCCATGTGGAAAGCCCACGAGCCAAAAAAAAAAAGGTCCCGATATCATATATTATGGAGCACGTCGTCCGTACGCCTATCACGACACCCCGTCGTTACCGAGCGACCGGTCCAAAAGGCAACCGTGACACGTTGCAGGGCGATTCACTAGGCATATATATATGATGAAAACAAAATCTACAGCTCTAGCGCCTCTCGACACTAAAGCAGTATTTCAGCAACATATATATACATACAAAGGCGCCCACGCCCAAGATTCGCTGCCGCATTCCCGGGACCGTACACATTGATTTCCGGTGTCGGTAGAAACATTCGCAGAGGATGCCGTTCCGTTGGTATGCGGTTGTGATGATGCTTGTGTCGTCATCGATAGTAGATACCTAGTCTAGTTGAATAAAGAGACACGACGAGGTAAGCAGAGAGGAGGAGGAGGAGAAGGTCATGTTGGGCGTAAACCGGGCTCAACCAAGTTAATATTCGTGCCATGATATCTCGTAGCGATCTTCCCCAACGCTGCTTTTCGACAAAATGGTCTAGTCAAAGATGCCCTTCCAGCTTCCTCAGAGCTAATGCTGTGTGCGGGGAGCTGATGCAATACGGTCTCATGAGCAGCATAAGACCGGAAAGAAGTAGTCTCGGGAAAACACCTCAGGTGATAACGCCTTGAGTAATGGAGTAGGACAAAGCAAATACCCTGTCCACGTCAGGCCTTTAGGCATCACTCAATATCATTGGATGTGGGCGTCGAGCACGCCTTGGAAGGGGGGGTTTTTTTTGGGGGGGGGGCTTTTTGGTTTTTTTTATAAAAAAAAGGACTATTCTATCTAGAGGCTAGTTCATAGATAGTCTTCGGAGCCTCACCTGTCACGCAGCAAGTCGGACAAAAAGGGCTGTAAAATAAACAAGATGGGGGCATTTTCGCATTCCAGGCATGATACGATATATAAGGGTGCCTACTAACCATCTACTTGCCCCAACACCAACTAGCAAACCAGCCAGCCAAGCTGGGGCTCCCAATGCAATGTATCTATGTGCTAATGTCGTAAACCCAGGATGCAGTGGAATAAGCTACCGCTGTAACTAAAACCGTGACTGGTTCAAGCTGTTCGTCGAAAAGGACACCTGAAACTCCGCCTCTCATGTTCATGGCTACAATATGTCTTGCTAGCCGGGTATTTCTAACAACAGACTGGTAGTGTTTCCTAACCTGACGATTGACTTGTGCGGATTCCTGATTAGGCGGGGTTGTTTTATCCCCTCCCAACCTCGATTATGTTAAGCCCCCCTGCGCCCACGAACTCCGGACCAAGTTTGGATAGGAAAAGCCAGTCAATCTCAATAACCACTCCGCCTTTGCATAGCGCTCGTATCACTTCGGCTCCTATCCCTACCAGCGCCTTGGCGCACAGCGTCGCTATAACTGGGAATTGGGGGGTTATGTGGCCGGAGAGCGGCAGCAGAAGCGCCACGACTCCGCGCTGGAGTCCTGATTAACGGAGTAATATCGCTCTCGGAACCGCTGCCCGAGCCATCCTCGTCGGAATGCTCCGGACTGGTGTATTCAGGTGGTGGATGTGAAGCTTCGTGCATGCCTAGGCCAGCAATGTTGATCACATGATCTCCAGAGGGCGCGAAGCCATGGCCAGTGGCACTCCCCTCGCCCGCCTCGTCCGAGGGAACCAATTGCGCCAGAGAAATATCAGTAGGACTTCTCTGTGGTCCCGGGCTGGTAGGTGGGAGGACTCGGTAACTGCCGCTGCGCGTTCGTGCGTGGCCCGAATCTTGTATCGGACCTCGATTGGTATATGTCTGGAATGATTGTGAATAGGAATGGGTTCGTGATGGTGATCCTGGAGCCTCGTCCTTCCTACGGCCGGACTCGAGTAGGATGCTGCCTTGTTCGCTTCCATAAGGTGGCGGTGGCGCTAAACTGCCAGTCATCGGCGCCAGCCCCCATTTCTTCACGTTGGCTTCGATGAAGACGAAGCCAGCCTGTCCAAAATTGACGTGGACGATGCAGGGTCCGTTGGCACCAACTGAGGGGAAGAAGTTTTGCGATTTCAAGCCATGGACAACATCATCTAACCGTCTGCCATTACGAGTGAAGAAGATAGTACCAGTTCGAGGGCGGTATCCCACGCCAACTACGTCGCCTTGAACAATCGGAGGCCCGTAAGGCGTTGGCATAAAGGGTTGGTTGAATCTCCGTGCACCTGTAGATGTGTAGGCAACAGAGTATTTGTGATATCCTAACGACAACGTTAGTGGCAAATACGTAGACAGAAACACATGGTGCATGTACCTGGAAGCCTAAACAGCGGATAGGGTTTTGTAGACATTCCGATACTTAACAAGGTGGCTTCAGGCTTTTCGTATATCTTCGCCTCCCAATAATATACCTCGTTTTGCTTTGGCACGGGGAGATTGCTCATGACTGTACACTCCGAGTCGAAGAACTCGATCTCTGTCCTAGCTTCGACGAAACAGTTGGCAATCTCCAACTCCGGCTCAAACTCCCATGCCGACACACCCTTCTCCTGAATAGCTAAATATTGGGATAATGAAATGTCCGTCTGGACCGACTCGGGTGGATTTCCTTGTATAAATGCTGGGAGCGAGTTAGCTGCGAACGCAACACGGCGTTGAAGGCATGGTCCCGGATTTCCCAGCCGAAGAGGGCGAGTCTACCTTTTGCTCTTAGGTATTCTGTCCTCTGCATATCATCCATCGTTTCCAGGGCCTCGGCCTCTTCCCTCGCAAATGCCTGCTCATCGTCATATTCGCCAGGACGGCCGATGCGGTCAAGGAAGATGCGACCAGACGCGGTGTGGCGAAAGAAGTAGATGACGAGGAAGATGAGGGCCACGACGACGGCAGAGCCAAAGGACGATAGCAGCCCAATGACGATGCCATCCAGAGGAGTCGTCATGTTGAGCTTGTCTGTGATGGTTCGTGGGTTGATGGTGGAACGAACGGACGAGCAGAATCCAGGGCTGGGACGTTTCCGTCACCGCTTCGCCACAGTCATTCGGCCAGGGTCATCCGGCCGGGGAGTTGTCGAGGACGGGCACCCAGACACGGGCGATAAGGAAGAAATGAACCGCCGATAGTATACAAAGATGGGAATCGAGACGTGATCGGACGTCGGAGTAGGTTTATTGGAAACACGAGAGGATGGCTGGCTGGCTAGGCGGGACGTAGGACGATTGCGGTTGTCGTGGTCGTGGTCGCAGTCGCACACTCAATTGCCTACGCCAGTGTGGAATGTGGCGGC